GGGGCGCGCCGTTGGCCACCGAATCGCAGTATGGCCAGCCGGCCACATGGATTTGCACGCCCAGGCTGTAGTGGTGGAATCTCAGCAGGGGCTGGAGGTGCTCCCTGTCGTCGATTGTTAACCACTTTTCTTATTTGAGCTTCTGGAGCGTCATACCAGCAGTTGAGGGCTCCAACGACCACACCCCCCGGTCCCTTGACGGCACTTTGGAGAGAGTCGCCTGAACCAGATTAGAAATAACCTTGGCCAGGATAGATGCAACGCACCAGGCGCATCTCCCCAGATCGTGCGCTCTTGTCCCGTTGCCTGATACGCTTCGGATAAGATTTCGGCATTATAAACGCGGTTGTAACTGGCCTTTAGTTTGCGACGGTGCAAAACGACGACTCCCTCCGAGCTTATGATTACCTGGGAAGCGTACATGCTGCTCCCGTCGAGCTCACTGAACCCGAGTACGACCCTGAAAACGAGTCAATACCAATTTCCTATGTTAGATGCAGGATTTACCAGATCCCAGCTTCTTTCGTTGCAGCGAGGATCTCCTTGAATTCGGGCGAGTTCACTGACAGCGAATTCTGTTGAAACTTCGTGAGGAAGACGGGATTGAAGGGCTGTGCCCAAATCGACATGGGGTAGCCTGGAATGAAAGACTCGGGGAATCCGACTAGCTCAGCACCATTGGATGCTGCCTCTTTAATCAGCGAGATCGCCTTTGCGACTCCGGCTTTGAGGTCCCACCACGCAGGTTCGGCTTGAATTGCAGCAACTCTAATGGTATTCAATGCAGGTGGGGTTCAACTGGAGGAACGTATGTATGGTGGTCGGCAACGCTGCCAGAAATCAGTGATGCAAGGAATGGTATTACCGCATTTGGAATGATGGCCCCTGTCTTCCTTCCGTTGATGCGCAAAAGTGTCCCAGGTGGCCAAGGCGACATTTACTGGTCCATTAACACATATAGCTCATAGCTTATAGACAGGAGAGTCATTCCTAATTATTTACGTCGAATATATAATGAAATAAGAGTAGTAAATTAGCATTCATCCATCATATCCTCCTCCTCCAAATCTTCATGTGCATCCCAGTTGTCTACAATAGGGATCCCTGCGTCGACCGAAGGCATGTCGATATCAAACGCACCAGCGCTCAACGCCGCATCAGCCATGAGCTGTAACTTCGGGAAAATATCACGGTTGAACCGAGTTACCGCCACAATTAATTGTGTGACCTTGTCACTCTTGGCCATCGCGCCGATGAGTGTCTTCGACGGAATGATGTCCTTCTCAACGAACTGGCGATGCCAATTGATCTGTTTGACAATCTCTGTGGCCACGACGCTCTTGTGGTTTGCCTGTATCCACGGAACATCTAAAAGCGGGGTGAGATTAGCAATCTCAGCCTTCCGGGCTGCGTCCTTCTCCTTCCGCAATTTCTCGGCGGCTTGCTTATTCCCAACAACAACCTTTTCGTACGCGACCAGCTCCGCGCGACGTGTACGATCCCGACCAGAATCAATTCGACGACGAGCTTCCCCACGGAGCCAAGCTCGGAATGCCGCAGTAACGGCATTGCTCCGTAGAAATTCCCGAGTACCGTTGATGGAGTACTTCGATTTTGCGTTGTGCATCGCCAGTGAAAGCCGTGCAGCGTGGATTATTGCACTACGGAGACGACCGAGAGCACCTTCATTGTGGTCATTAGTGGGATTAACGTAGATTGCCCTTCGAAGCTCAGCAGAAATTTTGGCAATGACACCATCGGGCTCGAACTCCTCGCCGAATCGCCTCCAAGTTGCTGCGGCACCTGTCATAAATGCTTTGAGGCATCCCCGAAGATGTGGCAGGCCGCCCGCCATCTTTTGTATCACGTAGAATACGTTAGGGTGTTCCCAGGGGTGTCCGTCGAGGCTTCCTGTCTCGTAGGATGCATCCGGAGCAAGCAGGAGATCGACGTCGTTGGCAACAGCGTCACAAAACGCAATAACCTTCGCGTGCCATGGTCCCAGATCCAGCGCGTTGGGTCGAACACCGTTAACAAGGCCCCGTGCGACTCGCATGTAACCCCCATGGCCTTGATAAATGACACGAACTCGTCATTGTCGATAGGGTTTTCCTGGCCTAACGGGGAAGCATTAAACGTAGCAACCAGGCTGCTATTGATGGTTGATTTCCAGCCTGCAAACTGTTCCTCGCTGGTGTGATTCGGGGCTGAAGTAGTGTCCAGCATCCGTGTGACAGGGACTGTCTCACCCACTCGCGTATATGTCGCGTGTTTCGCCTCGTAATTAAGGTGGCGAATGGTTGTTCCATCGCCGCTGATAGAGAACGCTTCAAATGGGTCAAAACAACGCTCTGAGCAATATAAAGAATATGGCACACATTTGGCTGCCTGAATTTCCATCGCTACCTGAACATCGGATGCGATCCCCCCTTCCTCCACTGTCCGACCGACTTGCCGGGCACTAATATGGTCCTGCAACTCGACTTCAACACCTCGAGCCACAGTGTGGATCACCGCGTCCACATTTGCCGCCGCAACGTTCAACGTAATGAGGTCGCGGACCATCTCGCGCGATCGTTCCGTAAAGATTCCTCCTTCCCCTTTCATCCAATATGCACCCACACCAACGCGCTGCTTCTTTAGTGCAGCGGCAATCCCATCCGTCTTCCGTCTATCAAGACGGCCCTTCTGTACACCGTTGTTGTGCTTCGAGCGCCGAAGATCAGCGCGTAAGACAGCTGCTGTTTTGACAGTCCGATTGTATCGCCGAGAAGTGTTGTGAAGCGTGCGAGAAAGACTGTTAACGCGCGCCAAAAGCTTCTCGTTACTCTGGTTGATGTCGGCGTTCCGTTCCGTAAGAGTCTGGTTCTTCCGTTTCTCTGCTGCGAGGAGGTTAAGAACCTGTTGCCGACGAGGAGTGACCGGACTTGAGGGGGTATTTTCCCCGGATAAGGTGTTGGAAAGCCCGGTTTTACGCGCCGAGGCCTTTTGCAGCCTTGATTTTCCCATCGTGAGCGCTGACGGCGTGTGTAGCGGTCCCAGAGACGCGTCAAGTGGGCGTAGATGCGAGGTGAAAAGATGTTACGTTATCCGGCCCGACTTCCCCGTGCCCCAAATTACCGCGGGATCAGTGAATCCATTCCCTCAGCCTCTCATGACTACTTTTGCTCAATACAAATTCTGTGTAAAATATAAGACCCCGTCTCAAATCCGGTCTACTTTCTCAAATGTTTATTAGTTGCACGGTTTGACCGTTAGATGCCACTTTGTACCCCGAAACAGTGACTTCTCGGATTCTGGCTTGTATCACATTTTTTAAAGAAGTAGACAGGGTTTACATAGTATCTAGAATTACTTTCCCCAGCAAAACCAAAACGACTACATGCACCGTTGGGTCAGAATTTCGCCCGACCATCATCACTGCAGACGTCGGAGTTTGAAATTAGCGGTGCATTGCCGACCACCAGTATGTACTTACTTCATGATGATCCTGGTGGTAATCTGGATGCCGAAGCTACCTTGTGGAATCGTCGACGTTTAGTCCGCCGAGCCGATGAGGTAACAATAGAGTTCGTGGTGATGGAAGGGTCGCTGATAGCGCTCCCGCATCGGTCCTGAAAGGGATCGCAGCGGAACACTAGAGTTCTTGGGCCAGACTCGCGAGGAGGAGAGACAACGTCGTTGAGGATGCTAGTAGGAAGAAGGAGAATCAATCTATCAATCAATCAATATTCCACTATAGTGCTTGCGGGCTTGGGGCCCATGTAGCACTCTACGTAGGTACATTTGGCTATGTTAGCGGTCGCGGGGGGAGTTAGGAGCGGGTGCGCGCTTGGGTGCGCGAGTGTGGAGGTAATCTCGGGAGGTGAGGGATAAGGTGTGGGTGCGGGAAGAGCTGTCTTAGCAGGGTCGAGTCGTGCAGGTATGCATATATGTATGTGTGTGTAAGGAGAAGGTAAGGAGAGAAAGTATGGAAGGGAGGGGAAGAGGGAGGGGCAAGTGACCTTAGAGCGCGTAGCGCGGCAGTCGGCCCGGGTCGCGAACGAATGGCAGCACCGGCTTGGGGTCGGCCTTGGCAGAGAGGAGGCGGGCGGTGCGGATTCGCATGAGGAGCGCGAGTCGTTCGCGTTGGAAGCGGGGGCAGGCAAGCAGGAAGTGGGGCACCGTTTCTGGGACCTGGCAGAGTGGCAGTCAGGCGAAGGCGCGAGATGGAAGCGGTAGAGAAATGTGTTGAGGCCGATGTGGGAAGTGCGGAGTTGTGCCCAGATGCTGCACTGCGGCCGGCTCAGTTCGGTGTAGTAGGCGCGCTATGGTGCCCGACGGCTTGGAGTCGTCCATGCAGTTTCACGGACGGATCAGAATATGAGGGAGGAGTCGGAGCGGCAGGGGAACTGATGCACAGGACGAAGCACTGGCATCTCGAGTCCGAGGTCGTGTCGCCCTCGACATCGTCGACATCTTCACCCGCGATCGTCGCCCTCGCCAACCCGAGGCCTCAGCCGGGGCAATACTCGCTCGCCCTCTTCCACTCCCTCCTCCGCCGCCTCCTCCGAGCCCGCCCTACCCTCAAAATCCGGATGCATTGGGTCCCCGCATACGTGCCGCTCACCCTCTCCATCCCGCTCTTCGCCTCTCCCCTCCCGACCAGCAAAGCAGCAGCGATCGCCGCAGCCTCGAAGGAGTTCGGTGCACGTTGGCTTGCGGAATGGACGCGTCCCCGCGCTTCCAGCGCCTTGCACTCATTGACGAGGAAGAAGGAGAGAACTTGAGAAAACGCTGTCAGTTCGTTGATGGAGCACAGAAAGATGGAATTTGGAGGTGCCGGTCAAGCAGTACTCTGAAGGGCGTGCGTCTGACACTCAATGGCTCCGTTTAAGTATAAGGGAGCGACTTGGGTCCTCTTGGGAGCGAGTTGCGAATTGAACGAATTTGGCGAGAGAGAACAGAGTCTGAAGCGGTTGCCCTGCATCCCTGTAGCTCTTCATTTGGCTTCCTTCATCGGCCCGATGGTCTAGTAGTATGATTCCTTGTTAGGGTTGTTGCGGGGTATTAATTGCTTACGTAATAGCTGTCGAGGAGGTCCCGGGTTCAATTCCCGGTTGGGCCCCTTTTTGCCTTTTTGACGTCGTCCTGGATCGTTCCCCCATATTTTCCTCCATTCAAAACCTTCAGCGCTTTACAGGGCATCCCCATGAATATTTTCGAGAGTTTTGGATCTCAGGAGGACCGGGAAACGCATTTCTTACAGCGGAGGTTTCGTTTTTTTCCTGATTAGGATTGAGGCGTTGAGTGTGCCAGATCGGGGTTACGGTTGCGGTACTGAATTGGTCAAAGGCTTACCAGTGTTTGTGTGCTACAGACCTCCAAAAAATGCTCAAGGTGCATTTGATGTCTGGGGCTCTACCGAACGAAGTTGAAGGCATTTGCCAGGGAGATGGTTGTACATGTTCCAAGAGAGTGTTATTTACTGTTCAAGTCCTCCAAAAGGTGAGTATGCCCAGAGCCGCGACCATTTTTAGTTCTCACTCTACTTGAGCTGCGTAATTCGGATTCACGTAAGCGCAGGTCAAAACTGTCGCCGCAGAACACCGTGGCGGACACGCCGCCGTTCCGCTCAACCCGGTTATGTTACTTGGGGGTGGTGTGGGCCTCAGGCGGGACGGAGGTGTGGGCTTTTGCTTTGTTCTTCTCGTGCGCTCGTACTGACTTGCGCCCACAGCCACCTCGGCACGATCTTCTCTACCCCACTGGCCATAGACGCAACCAGCGTGGACTACGACGAGATGGGATTGCATAGTAGCTTGGACACGGTGAGGTGGAGAAGTTTGGTGTGAATGACGTCGATATATGGAGCGTGTGGCATGCCCTCCTCGAAAACGTCGCATACAGGGCTCAACTTCTCACGCATCGCAGCAGCCCAATTGTTCCACACTCACCAACCCGACTCGACTTCCACGACACACTCCCCTTCGACGAGCAGCGCGGGCGGGCGCAGCGGTCGATGAGCACGGTGCGGGCGCAATAGCCGGCGAGCAGTGGGGTTATGGGGCGAGGGCTCTCAGGGTGCGCGTGCTACATTTATTGGCCGCCGTATTGCGTTCTTCGACTCCCCTTCGTTCTTTTTTTTCCATTTATGTTTGCCCCGTTACTTACACCTGCATCTAAAATTTCCGCCATCCTTCAGTACTTCTTGTATGCCTTGCGCCTATTTCAATCTCGTTTGTTTTCAAGGTGTTTGGTTTTTGCAGATTTGGTTTGAGCCTTTCCAATATCCTTGATTTGCCCTCACGATACGGCGTACAGTGTCTGGAGTCAGACTGTGTGCAGCACTGGTCTCTTGTACCATTCAAGAAGGTCTATTCGCCGCTGTGCAGATGCTATTTTCACAGCTGTTACACAAGCGGGACACTGCCGGGGAAGTTCTTGGAGCTTGAACTGTAGATTGAACTGCCGTGAAGAAACAGCAGCCTCCACCGCATTCAAGCATCCTGGCCGGTATTTACAATATTAATGTCCCCATTTACGGATTTCCTCTCTAGCCCGCGGCTTAATGGTCGGCACGCAGGATGCGCCCGTATGCGTAGACCTATCCCTCATACATCAGACTTTTGACATTTCTATTCTGATCTTGTACAAGGCCAAACAAGGCCAAAAAAGACGCAACAAACCCGCAAGCTCACAACATCACAATGTTTCAAAACAAGCTCACAAGATAAAATTCCCCCAAAAAACATTTTTTTCCAGCACTCTGCTGGGCTCTAACAGGCATATCTGAGGGGGGTCTTTCTGGGTACAGCTTTTTTTTTATCTTGTGAGGTTGTCGACAAGCTCACAACCCCAAACAAGCCGCCCAAGATCACAATAGAAATGTCAAAAGGCTGATGTAATCTGTAACTGTCATTTTGAGTTTCCTACTTTCCTTATTCAACAATTCAACAATGTGATATTCGTCTACGTAGTGAATACTTAGGTACATGTATCTCGACGAACCCAAATGAAAATAAGTCGTATCATACGGCATATCTCGCTCATCCACGTTTTGCTCATCTTACTTATATTGCGTCACTACACCGGGGGATTCCTTAGCCATTCACCTTAGTATTGTGTCCGTCTGAGTATTATTACTTTGAGGTTATCGGCCCCGTTGTTATAACCTGCTCCTGAAACTTGAATCGTCAGACACTCGATTAAAATTTACGGCTCACAATTTTTGACTGGCAAAGAATGGCTCCGAACTTCACCGGCGCGCCGTTCATCCCAGACGGGGAGAAGCTGTTGTTTTCGGCACCGTGGTTAACATCGCGACCTTGTCTGTCTGAACGGACACATCCCGATAGATAATCATTACATCCGCAACTTGGGCTTTAGGCCAATGCTTGCGCATGGCAGAACGAGTCGGGTACAGGGGATTGGTCTGCAATTCAGTACATTCAAGTAAACACTGATAGTGAATATTTTGCGACGTTGAAATGGTCATTATGTACACTTATAGGATCCTGTGCCAAGGAAAATGAAGTTATTCACATGGTAGCTTATATTATACGACGATCTCAGCGAGGATCAGAAAAAATGTAAGCAAACGAGGTATAATGCATGGGCTCGTTTCTGACAATAATCAATTGGTGAATTTTCGCAGACGCTGCAATAGGGGAAGTCAAAGCTCCTGGTAGGGCCGATTCTGACATCGATTCTGATGTCGATTCTTGAATCGATTCTTGATCCAGAATCGGCTGAATCGTGAATCGTTTCAGAATCGGTGTTTCGCCTCCAGAGGAGCAACTCGACAGAATCGGTTTCGAGAATCGGTTTCACCCCAAACCCTAAGGCAACTTGGTCCCGCCCCGCCCATAATTATTTGCTTACTGTATGATAAAATTACATAATTTTTTTCTCTCTCTCCTCTACACACCAAATCTACACGGTGTCTACCAAGGGTACTCTATGGCACCCAGGAAAACCACTGACCCGGCAGCAAAACCTGTTGTATCCAAGCCCCCTGCTCGCAAGCGGGCTCTGACCGAAAAGGCCAAAGCGCTACAGAAAGCTGCCAAAAAAGGCGGTGCAAAAACCCAAAGTGCCGAGGACAGCAGCGATGACAGCGAGCTTGACGAGCTTGCAGAGCCAGGATCAAAACCCAGGCTGGATGTTGAGTAAGTGTGTCTGTGTGGATAAAAGCACGTACTTACGTCGCATAGCTGGAAGGACCCGCAACTCAGTGTCGAGCTCTTGATGCACATCTTGGAAAACAAGGACATCAAGCAGGCCCTCTTCCCCCCTTGCGGCCCGAACGCCTCCACTACCAACGGAGGCGGGAAGAAGAAGATCGATGCACAATGGAAGCTAGCATTCATCCTCCTCAGCAAGATCGAAAAATACAAGGAGGCTCTCGCTGCTGTTAGCACACCCAAGGAAAAGCGGTTTTGGGCCAATAAAATCAAGAACTGACTACGCACGTAAGGAATGCCCCGCTGTGTATCCTTCAATGATGCTCGTTAATAATATGCTTTGCATAGCATGGCCAGAATTACCCGGGCTTGTATCGAGGAGATGGGCGGAACAGGTGCAGGGATACAAACTGCCGCAGACATCGATATGAGCGTGACGAACACATTCACAACCAAGTGGGGTGCGTACCGTTCACCAATACCTGCTGCTGCGCTAACACAGACGACAGCGGAGATCGATGCAGCCCACCCCTGGTTCTTTGAAATGCGTGAGCTCATCGGACAGCGGCCGAACCTCATTCCCACTGGCCTGGGACGTAGCAGCACCGGGGTCGATGCAGGGGTCATCATCGCGGATCCTGCAGCTGTCAATGTCGATGACGTGGCACCGGAGGAGGATGAGGACGATGTCGGTCTTTACTCCTGGCCAGCTTCACCCGAGCCCGACAGCCGCAAGCGTACATTCTCCGAGATCGACGAGGAAATCGCTGCAAGCGGTGACGACTTCAAGCCCTCGTCTCCTGTGCCGTCAGAGAGTGCAGCTGATGTCGACGATGGAGGAGAGTCAGAGGATGGAAAGGGCAAAGGGATGGAAACAGAGAAGAAGACTCAGCGGAAGCCCAATCCGGCCAAGCCCAGCACCTCTACTCCTGCCGCCCTTCCATCTGCCGCACCGCCGAAGCCGTCCAAAAAGACCAAGGTTGCCGAGTTTGCTGAGCTGGCAAAGAACGAGGAGAAGACGCGCCAGAAGGAGCTCGAGTTTGCTGCACTTCGGACGCGCCAGGCCATCAAGACCACTGAAGTCAAGGGCCGGATAGAAGAGCGACGGGAGGAGAGGCGGATGCGGGCACAGGAGGGGAAGCGAGAGGAGAGGATGATGAAGCTCAAGATGAAGGAGCTCAAGATTCGAAACGCCCACGAGCTTCGCATGTCGAGAGCCAGCACATCGTCGTCTCACGCTGACAGCTTCTTTGATTCTCACTCATCGTCCGGATCGCACAGCTGCTATGCCCCATCGGACCCTTCAGAGTACACCGAGTTCGATGGCTTCCATGAGAATGCTGTGGCCGCTTCCTCAACATCGGCGTCAATGGATTTTGCGGACATCTCCGCCTTCAATTCCTTTGCCGACTCTGTCAATGGAAGCCAATTCAATAATGGTGGCCCGTAAATCCTGACCTACCGCACATAACCACTGCATACCTGTCGTCTATCATCGCTCATTCTGTTTACCGGTATCACTGTCCTTACTCATCATGTCTTTCTCTTATATCCGGTCTCCGACTCCATCACTGTCATTGCTATATTCATTTCCCCACTGTCACTACTCTACTTATTCACCCCCACTGTCGCTACTAATACCCAGCTGCTCGTTCTCCCTCCGTGCCCGATGCTGTCTGCGTCTATCTTTCGCTTTGAATAAAAGATGCTTGAGGCGTTCCCGCTTAGCTTTCCCCGTATGGATTCGATGACCGGCTGCTGGTCCTGCGGCATTCGCGTCCGATTCGGAAGAAGATGAGAGTCCTTCACGAATGAACGGGTCAGCCATGACTGCTTCTTCGTCGCTATCAGCACCTCGTTCCCTAGCCTCACACTCCATTGCAAAGGAATGTACGCCTACACAGGCAGCAACCCAATATGTCGCAAACTTGTGAGTCTTTTC